GACTTTGTTGTTTCCAATGGGTCCTAACAAACGTCCAGATCACGAATTAATGCTGTGGCTTCAATGGGAAGGAGGGCAGCTGCCAATCGGCACCGGCGCTAAAACTATTCGAATCAGAAACCTTTACGGACAAGATTGGAATTTGTACCAGGGTCTTAACAAAGATATCAATGTTCAAGTTAGGAGTCTACTTCCTGATCGTCAGTACACGAATTCATTCAAAGGTAACATGAAGGATTGGTTGATGAAACTCGTCGAGGCTGGTATCTTTCGAGCGGACGCATACCTGCATACGGCCAATTTAGGGTTAGCGAAGACTTGAATACCGCATTTTATGAACCGTTATCTGATCATACTTATTATCCTTTTTGAAATTCAGGATGGAATCATTTTGGGGTGAATCTACTTTTAAAGCACAGTCTTCACTTCAACTTTTATGGAGTGGGAATCAAAATCAAATTGGATATAAGCCTCCTGGATATAAACAACCTCCTGCCGGAACTGTAGTTCCGGGTCGCGCAAAGACTCGCTAGGCTGGTTCTAGCGAGTATTTATATTTATATCGTCTTAACTTTGTTATAAACCATCTTTGAAGCTAGCTTCCTCAATTCACTTTCAGGCAAAATGTGAAGTTTTCACTTCCAACGCCGCACACCGCGCGTCTCTAATCTTTATTGCTTGTTTGGCTTTGCAACATCCTCCACCAATATACCGCTTTCCCGACTTTGACATAGTCTAGAAGATGGATCAAAGTCGCATTCAGTTCTTTCATGTTTATAATCAGTATCCAAATATATTCTTGAAGATATCACCAATCCGAGCTCAAATATCTGTACTTAATTTGTTGCAATTTGTAATTATTTATGTTAATAAAAGACTTCCTATGCATCTATGATTGTTTGAGGAATGTTTCCTGATTCCCAAGAGGATATCTATGTCAAGTATCGTAATCTGACCAATGTCCTCAAATTATCATACAAATACATTTTGTTTGAAATGGAAATATCATGATCATATTACAAGCTGCTGAATAGTTGAATGATTTTGAATCCATTTCCCAAGAACACTTGAGAAGAGGGTATTTAGGTGGGGTATTGGTATTCGAAATTTCCGGATCAATTGTTAAAACCAACCAAGAGATTGACTTCAGGGTAGCAGTGAAGTTGACTATTCAAAATGTAGAACATTTACAGCTGTTTTCAAAAATAATGTCATGGGGCGAATTTTTATTTTTCGTTTTCCTCACAAGCCACGCCAAATACAGCCAATACAGGCTCTACTCAGGACCACAGGGGGTTCAGGACAAACACCGGGCTGATGTATCGGATATGGTCGGTCCCATCCACTACCCAAATCTGATCGCCACATCGAAAATTCTCTGCCCTCCAACATCCACTACCTCCTAACACATCCAGTCCGATTATCACCACCTCCCATCCCATCCGATACTGCGTCGAATCCACCCCATCCCTTCAGATCCTACGACATAAGCTCAGCGAGTTCAGCGTGGCCCGATAACTGGCAAGGTCAGATATGCCCCACTACCCGTTTCACAACTCCACATCACTTCATTGACGTTGCGTTGTTTGATTTGCGTACTTACAGAATGGCCAGAGTCCCAAGAGTGCGAGGCGGAAAGTACGAGGCCAGCGTCAAAGTCTTAGCCATTCAGCACCTTAAGGCAGGGAAGACAATCGCTCAGGTTCAAGCCATCCTGAAATCACCAGTCTCTTCACGCACCATCTCTCGATGGCACGCGTTGTATCGACGAACGGCCTCCGTGGTTCGTAATCCTGATGATTACGAGAGGTTGGGAAGGAACCTAAGGTTGACGGATGAGGACCGCGACTTTATGCTTGAGCTCCTGGATGGTAACCCTGGTTTATACTTAGACGAGTATCGACTGGCCATCTATCGGGAAACTGGAGAGTGGATCTCTCTACCAACTGTCACCCGTGACCTCAAGATACGACTCAACCTTACCCTCAAAAAGGCTCGAACGGTGCACCCCGCGCAAAGCGCCACCAAACGGGCTCGTTATCTACACGCTATCGGAGCTTTGACACCTAACATGCTAGTGTTTTTGGGTTAGTCATACACTTCCAAGCCTTACTTCGCTTTAGGCGTCTCAGCTAATTTGGTCTATATACAGATGAGTGCGCAATCCAGGAGCGCTTCCTCAAGCGACAGTTTGGCCGCGCCACCAAGGGCCAACGTACCCAGAGGATCCCATGGAGCCGGGCTGGGAAACGCTACTCACTGTTACCAGCCATTTTCAGGGGTGGTATCTTGGCGGTGGATTGCCAAGAGGGTAGCTACTACCGCCGTGATTTCGAAAGTTTCCTCAAACATCGCCTGGTTAGCTTGTGTTCAAGACTTCGCCTGTCGTGACTGATCATGCTGACATGATCGTCTCTCCGATAGTTCCCAGTTATGAATCCTTATCCCCAAGCCAATTCGGTGTTGGTCATGGATAATG